ACACACACACACACACACACACACACACACACACACACACACACACACACACACACACATATCCAAGTTTGCTGAGAGAGAGTTGAACGTGATTGCTTTGGAGGTGGAATGAACTTCTTAGCTAAATTTATGTGATTATGTAGAGGCAAAATAAATGTGATTATGAAAAGGAAAAGAAAAGATTATTTTTGGATAGTTTTAGCATGAATACAGGCCGTTAAAATTAAACTACCTCTCTTTGAACTTTGTGGAATTATGAGATTCTTTCTTGATTTGTGTTTTTCGGGCTTTTTCTTGCCGTCTTATTGTCCCTTTTTCCATCACCGTTTGTTTTTGTTCCGTCTTTGTTTTTGCATTCCATCTTTTTGTCCTAGACTGAAAGACATACCAGCTACCAGCTGGTGGGCAGCTGTAGAAGTTGTTTTTTTTTATTCAGAAAATAAGAGAGTTAGAACCATATTACCTGCAGTGTCCCCAAGTGTCTTTGAGCAGCACACTGTACCTCCCGTTGCCTTCCATAATGCTTATCRGCGTCTCTGTGAGAATAAAAAAGGTACTTCATATACAGAGTGCAGATATAATAAAAAGTGCTTTACGAGTGTGTGTGAATGAGMAGCACATTGTTAAGAGCTTTGTATAAACTCGAGGTTAAAAGGTTCTGTATAAGTATGGATCATTAAATGGATAGTTCAGATTTTCTGAAGTGTGCTTCTGTAGAAAGGTTATGAGCAGCAAACATGTTACCTGTTGTAGCACGCTCCTGATTGTCTGAAAACTTTCTCAAGCTGAATGAGGAGAAAATAAAGAATCATATTTGTGCTCAGGATAGCTTTGTTTTTTCAGAATGTTTGAGACCTGTGTTTTTCTGCTTATATTAAACCCATTATTTAAAACACTAGGGTGGCTTTTGATAGAAATCTGTTATTCTATGTCAGAAGTGTTGTTGGTTCTTGTTTTGGTAAACTGAGCATCATAGTTGTGGAGTTTCATTGTGCATTGTCACTGTAATTCATTTTATATCTAAGCTCAGTGAATCCTTGAATCGTCTGCAGCTCATCCAAACTGCAGCTGCTGAGCTTCTGACCAGAAGTGCTCCCGTGTTACACTTCATCTGATCTCTCTGCTACAGCTCACTCTTCAATACCGAGCTCAGTTCAAGGTTCTGATCTAGACTTGTTTTAAATTGGCCACGATGATGCATCTTTATACATTTCTGAATTTTTACGGTCATATGTCAATACCAGGACCCTGAGGTCGTCAAGCCGAGGACTGTGTAATTTAATCTCTCCCAGTGCTAYGCAGATATTTTGATGTTCTGTTTGGCTCATGTTTTTCAATCCATTTAATTTTCTCTATTCCCTATTACGTTTTTTTGAACAATAGTGTCAAAGTATTTGCTGCAGAACTGCTAAACAAGGTCATGGACTTCTGGCTTACTAAATTCCACGAATCGGCAGTTCTGCAGGTTCACTGTCTTCATTCTCCTCTGGCTTGGGGTCAGACTTTGGCTTGAACATGAATCAGAATCAGAATACTGTATTGATCCCTGAGGGAAATTACAGGTATTACAGCTGCAACCGTTCAGATCGAGAAATGTGAAAGGAAAAAAAATAAGCAAAGTAGAATAAAATAAGTATAAAAACCCAGGATTACAAAAAAAATCACACTTATGTACACACAAACAATGTACAATAAAAATAATAGAAACATTAAGAAAATGTGTACAGAGATGATGTTTGGTATATTGCACATGTAAGGCTGGATGGACAAGTTTCTGTTGACATATTTTAATGAATTTGTAAATAAAAAGTTTCTTTGCTGTTAGTGTAGTAAAACTGAGAACCGCTCACAAACAGGTGTTCAGATCCAGAAAATTATTTATTTAACCCCCTAGAACGTTTAATTCTCAGGCATTTTATTTTTTTCCACTCAAATTAAACAGAAAGATAAAAATGTTGCCTTGAAAGTGAATAAGTAATTAAAGAATAAACCAGGTAATGACAGGTGCAGGAAGCAGCTGCGTCCAAAATACATTGATTTGTCCACAATACATCAAATTCTCCAAAATAAGCAAATTCCATGAGATTCCACGTTTTATACTGGATTCCATTTTGTGTTAATTCCATGAGTCCGTCTGCAATTTACACATTGTAGAAATCATAGGGCCCTACAAATCTCAGCCCTATTTTTATTTTATTTTTGCACACACCTGGGAAATTTTTCCATGTACCTCCTGTACTATGCTCGCGTACTCCTGGTTGAGAATCCATGCTTTATAAGGTGTGAATGGCTGAAGGAACTGTCCAAGGTCCTGAATGAACTGGAATGTTTCAGGACTTTAGACAGTGTGAATGGCTGAAGGAACCATCCAGGATCCTGAAAGAGCTGAAATGTTTCAGGACTTCACAGTGTGAATGGCTGAAGGAACTGTCCAAGGTCCTGAAAGAGCTGGACTGTTTCAGGACTTTAGACAGTATGAATGGCTGAAGGAACTGTCCAAGGTCCTGAATGAACTGGAATGTTTCAGGACTTTAGACAGTGTGAATGGCTGAAGGAACCGTCCAGGATCCTGAAAGAGCTGGAATGTTTCAGGACTTCACAGTATGAATGGCTGAAGAAACTGTCCAAGGTCCTGAAAGAGCTGGAATGTTTCAGGACTTTACAGTGTGAATGGCTGAAGGAACTGTCCAAGGTCCTGAAAGAGCTGGAATGTTTCAGGACTTAACAATGTGAAWGGCTGAAGGAACTGTCCAAGGTCCTGAAAGAGCTGGAATGTTTCTGGACTTTAGACAGTGTGAATGGCTGAAGGAACTGTCCAAGATACTGGGAAATTTTTCCACGTACCCCCTGTAATATGCTCGCGTACCCCTGGTTGGGAATCACTGCTGTAGGAGGTGAATGTGAAGTGCTTCATTAGCATTTGGAGAGACAGCACCAAAACGAGTTGTTCCCAGACTCTCCTCGAAACAGGGGTGAAAGATGGGCCTGTGGAGCTACATTATTGAGGAATATAGACTTTATATAGTTCACAACAGAATTATTTAAATGTGAAAAGGAAGAATTTAATAGCTTATGTTGCGCTTGTATACGTTTTTACCTACTTTGAGTATCCTCGATTTGGAGAAATGTTTTAATTCTGGCTTGATCGACAATATAAACACAAATCATGTTTGTTTTGGTTTAAAAACCTTCACACCACAGTCAGCTTTGCATTTTGATGATATTCCAGCAGAAATACAGGATATTCCTGCCCCTCAGTCTGCACTGGAAGTGCTACAGCTTTGTGCTGCTGCTATTTATGCTTGCAGATAAACAGAATTCTGTTTAAAAAGGCAAAAATCTCTAAAGAAATTGAATCTATTGCAACAAAAACATTACAACAGAATGCCTTTGGAAAAAATGGATGCTGGCACAAGTGACTGGTTTAAATTCACACCCAAGAAGCTAGACGGGGCGCATTGCTGTTGGTATTTTTTACTTGCAACAAGTGCAGTGCTTGTAAAGGTTTGATCAGGTTGAGTGATTACTGAGTGGGTGATTGCTTGTGTGTGATTCATTATAATGTGTTGGAAACCTTTTTGTCAAAGAGGAAAGGATTACACGCTCCGTAAAGGTCACAAATCTTTTTTTACGCTAACACAGAAAGCCCACAGGAACACAGAACACTTTATCTTTGCACCTGATGTCATTTGAGCCCAACTGTGATCCTCTGTCTCCCAGGTGTGGTATCTGTCTGGCTGGGTTTGCTACCTCCAGTGGGAAAAAGCAAAGGAGCCACAAGAAAGAGAAGTGACGGAGGAGGAGCAGGAGGAGTGGAAGGCATTGCAAGAAGCTGCTAGATCATACCTGACTAATGCCAAAAAGGTAAATGTATATAAGTATTGTAGCATCTTTGTCTTTATTTGATGTTTTGATATACATAAAAAAGACTCTCTTCAAAGAAATGTAAAGTATGTCCTTTTTAATTTTCTGTTTAAAGATTCATTTATTTTATAAGGCATTGATCACATTTGCTTTAATTTTTTCTTTCTCATTCATTCATTGCCAGAAAAGATGACTGACAGAGCAATGTTAAGTGTGACATTTGCCCAGTATTGGAAAGTTAATTGACGATATAACACCGATTTCTAAAGGGAGTCATGAACACAAATTGCATTTACAGCTCATGTTAGCATGCCAGTTGTGTTGTGGTTGTGTGGAAGGAAACAGCCAAAAATACAACATTGATTTATAATTTATTTAATAATGCATTTTGATTCTTCAGCTGATAAAAAACGTATTTATTTCCCCATTACCGTTTGTAGTTGGTGAAAGGGGTGTAAATCACCACTTTTATCACAATACAATTTTATATCTGTGTCAATGGCAATTTATTTATATGGCATATAAAAACAACAGAAGTTGACCAAAGTACTTAACAATTTAGCCAAATGAACAGATAAAAAAAGGAACACAGAAAGGTTAAAAAATAAGTAATTTTAATATAAAATACAGAAATACAACATAAAAGCACCAGCTTTAAAAGAATTTCAAACTCTGCCAGCATCAAAAGGCAAAGAATAAAAATGGGTCTGAAGCGTAGATTTAAAAGTCTCAGTGGTCTGAATGCAAAAAGGTAAATCATTCCACAGGTTTGGGGCAGAAACAGTGAAAACCCGATCACCTCTGAATTATAACTTGGATCTAGGAACATCTAAAAGAAACTGAATGGATGACCGAAGTTCTCCAACTGAAGCGTGGATGTTATGGAGATCACACAGGTGTGATGGGGTCAGAACTTTTAGAACTTTAAAAGTAAGCAGTTAAATCTTAAAATCAATCCTAAAACAGGAAGCCAAATGAGAGAAGCTGGACCCAAGGAAATGCGTTCATGTTTTTTATATATTTTTTATTTTATTATTTTTTTTGTACCTGTTAAAAGACAAGCTTCTGCATTTTGGACAACTTTTAAGCGATGCAGAGAAGATTAATCTAAACCAACATACAATAAGGTGTTAACTCACTTAGTCAAGGTCTTTAGTCAGAAGAAAGGACTTCACCTTGGCAATATGTCTCCAAAAACATGTACAATAGGTTGCCTCCAGGCCTCCCTTGAAAAAGAGATCTGAGATCTCAATGGGACTTGCCTGCTTAAATAACAGTTCATAAAAAATGTCGTAGTTGTAAAAAAGTCTGTCATTATACGATTTCAATTCACAAGTCTGCGACTGATATGATGCAATCTATTCCCATATGGGTATATGATATCTGTCCACATCAGGGATACTGTATGATGGCAATATGGATCAATATTTTGTTTTGCGTTGATGTAATTAGATCGTGTAATTGATTTTAACTAGGGCTGCACAATATTAGGAAAACCTGCGATGTGCGATAACAGTGCTTTACATTACGACGATGATAGACTTGTGATAAATGAAAAAAAAAACATATGTTTATGTAGTGTTGATATGTTTCTGCTCTGGATTCAAAGCCAAAAAACAGCATAAAAATAATAATTTCCATTCCAGCCTGATTTTTTTTAATTGACCAAATACATGAAGGGCTCTGTTTGATTGGTGAAATACTTCAAGCTTCCATCTGAATGATAAAACGCATAAATGCTAACTTTTGAGTCAACCATTTATTGCAGTTTATGCAGTTGTTGCAATATGCATGTTGCACAGGCTATTATCAYGATGACGATAAATGTTCGATATATTGTGCAACCCTAATTTTATTTGATATATCAATGAGATTGATGCTTTGTTACACCCCTAGTTGTTAATGCAGTAAGGTTTGACCCACTCGTAATTATTTTGCACAAATTCACAGAGTACCAGAAAACTTGCAGCAAGTGTTTTGCCATCTAAATAAGATTCAACACTTAAAGATTTAAAAATTCTTTAGATATAGATTGATTGGTCAGTTGGCTGACTATTTAGACCAGAGGAGCCCAAAGTGGGGCCCGCGGGCCAAATTTGGCCCGCCAAACCATTTGATTTGGCCCACCAGCAGTTGACACATTTACTAGGCTGTAACCTGTTGTCCTATGTAAAAACACAGTATTTCCACTTAGTCATTTCATCTATTGGCCCAATGACCATATAAGGGGCTGTAGTGCAGATAGTCTTCACTCATGGTGCTGACTTTATCTAAGTAGCAAAGACTCATGGGACATT